CAAACGATGCAACCCGGAATAAGGCTCCACACAAGTTTGCTATACTTATCTCGAAGCTTCCTCCCCCATGCCTTTAACAATGCTATTGTGAGGACTGAGTTTTGCCAACTGCCTGTGTAAATCTAAAATATGTATCAAAGCCAATTAACGACCGAGATTTTGAACAAAACCTATACAATGGAAACAGAAATATTAAAGAAGAAAGAAAAGAAGAATCAAAGCATGTAACATGTAATCCCCTTTCGCTTCCTCAAGCCTCAAAGGCGCCCTTACTTTGACATTTTGAGAAAGAATTTGCTCCTTTTTGATAAATGTTCACTTTGAATCATTTATTTATTTAATCTATACTCCACTTTTAAACTGTGTTTATTTTCACTTTGCTTACCAAGACTAACCAAATTGAGGAAATGAAATTTTCTTAATTTTGATAAAAACAAATTATAATAAATAAAAATTGGAGGAACTATACAAGCAACACATGCAAGCACGCTACAGTGGATTATCAAGTATATAAAGAGATTAAGCTATTACATAGTGTATGGAGAGACTGGGGAAGGAGGTGGGTGAGTATTTATATATGATACATCTTCATCTGCTTGGTCTTTTTCTGATGTAAAGTAAATGGTATTTGCAATATTTAAGCTTAGTAATTGGTCTTGAATTCTTAAGTTTCAGCATTGTTATCATTCCACTAAGTTAAACAGGAGTAATGCTTTTATTTCTTTATATTTACCCCCAACAGACTACCACAAATGCTGAGGCTTTTGTTAGTAAGTCCTCCAAGAGCTTAATCAACAAAGAGTAGCATCTTTCTAGAAGAAATGGATGAGCTGTCCAATGCCTTCTCATTGCTTGAGCTGGATGTGGAAGATGCTAAGGAAAATACTATGATTGCCACCGCTGCTGATGGTGATGGCGATGGTGAAAGAGTAAAGGAACAAGGTCTGCAGTGATTTTATTTTAAAGATACTGGAGTCTTCTCTATTGTTCCCTTCTTTTTAGAATGTGAGGTGAAAGATCCGTTGCATACTACATGAAGAATAAATCTAATTTTTTTTCTCTCAAGTTTTTAGGCTAATCAAAATCTAAATAGTATCGTGATGATGAAACTATAACATTCAATCGTTTCTGCTTACCTATGGGCAAATATAGTATTTTATCTTTTTGCATGGTTTGTCAGAAAAATTATTCCCATGATGCAGATAATGGTAAGATAAAAGAGCACAACTCAGGAGATGGAACCTCATCGAAAAATGAGAACAAGGGTGAACAGAGCTCAGAACTGATTCGAGAAGAGTACAAGTTGCCACTTGTGTGGATTGACCTTGAAATGACTGGCAAGTATTTTATCTTCGGGCTGTTGAAATGAATATTGGTATTCTGAATATCATGGATCACCAACTATGTAATGGTAGTTCCTTATAAATGTTGATAGAGTATGCTCAAAGATTGGGGCAAGCTGTTCCTACTAGAATATAAAATGTGTTCTTATTAGTTTTGAAGAGGAGTCCTACTTTGTTGTTTGTTGGAATGTTTCATATGCTGATTTGAATTTGGGCTGTTACGAGGAGTTCTCATCCATTAATGTAGCTTGGTTGTCTAGGTGCTCCTGCAATATTGTCACATTTGCTGGCTGATTCACATTTCTTATCCCATAACAAAAACTAAGTTCTCTTCATTATGGAGCGTGAATGGTGCTGAAACTCCTTTCTTAAAACCAAGACCAAGAGTTCGTTTTCGTCCTAGCAGCTGTTTGATTCCCGATTGTTGATAAACGTAAAAGTGGTTCAAATATATACTCATTTTTCGTTCCTTACTCCAGGTTTGGTTTTCAATGACCTTCCTGCTTCACTTGTTCCTTCCACTGTTATTTTCCTACACACCGCACTTTGACATTCATGTAAATATGCCATGTCCTTGTGTTAGTGGGAGAACCTTTGACTTTCAACCTACCTTGTCTATTCTGTAAGTAGGTTCCATGGCCGTGACGTGACATCCCCCTTAAAAAGAAGAAACTGAATGATGCTCAGTTTCTTTAGTTTGTACGCAGTATTGTGCTTCATCTTTTCTTCTAAGAGCCTTCTCTTGCCGACGTTAGTCTTCTCCAACATTCTTTTCTTAAGTTATTGCCCATGTCGTACATTTTTCCCTGACAGCTACGGGAGTGGGTGATTGTTATTAAAAGCTTGTAGTAGATCCGCTAGAGGATGATTGGCTCTATAATTTCTTCTCTCTTTAAGCCAAAGTAAAATGACTTCTGTATAATCAATTAAAGCTCTGCATTACTTCACAATTAGTCTCCCTTAGGTTCAATTTAAAATAAAGAAAAAGAAACGGAGTGGAATATTGTGATGTCATCTGCTGGTTATTTCTGCTAAGCATATAGTTTTCCTTTTCTATCAATAGTCCATTTTCACAGTAACGTAATGCTTTGTCACATCTTTCTTTTTGAATTTGAGATTGAATTGAAGATGCCGTATTCAATTGGCTAGTATATATTTCATTTTCTCTTTTCAATTAACAAATTATATAATGCATGACTTAAAAGTTCAATACTTGTAGCCTCATTGTTCTCAATTAGAGAGCCTTGTGAATGTTAATATAATTAGATTTTTAATTTGATTTCTTGTATCCTTTACCTTAATACAGACGAATTAATCTTGTGATTCAGGGGTGCTGAAAACTTTCTTGCTTTTAGATTTGTGTTTTCATCTTTTTTTTTCTTGCTCTGGGTAAAAGAAAACCAAGATAGACAACACAGAAAATAATCCTTTTTTGCTTAGTTTACTTTAATTCTCTGCAGGCCAATGCGTTCTTCATGACAAATGGCAGAAAAACAATTGCTTAAATCATGACTTATTAGAAGAAACGTTATAATTGTGTAAGATCCTTTCTCTTTGTTTCTTTTTTGCAGGTTTGAATATTGAAGTTGATAGAATATTAGAAATTGCTTGTATAATTACAGATGGCAATTTAACCAAGTTAATTGAGGTAACTTCATCCTTTCTTGCTGGAATTTTTTTGTAGTCATATTTTCTTCTCATTATATTGTGCTATCTTTTGTTTGCTTTTTCTGAATTTTGCATTCTTGTTATGTGTTTTCCCATCTTCTGTGGCTGGAAGTTTTGCTGTTTTTCAATGGTTTAAATCAAATTAAATTCATCTGAATCTTGACTACCTTTTTTACTCCCTTTTATTCGATATATTGGATCTTTCCATTACCAATGGCCATTGATTCCCTCCCTTTCTTAATTGAGAAAATTTCCTTGTTTCTTTTATAGGGTCCCGACTTGGTTATTCATCAATCAAAGGAATGCCTTGATAAAATGGGAGAATGGTGTCAACAACATCATGGAGAAAGTGGTAAGCAGTTTTACAAGTGTAGTCACCTTCTATTGTCATTTTTTATTGCCAGAACATTGTCCTTTTCTCCTGGTTCTGAAAGATACATTTTGTTGCATTTCCTGTATACTCATCTGTCACAAACTACTATTGGACTTAGGTTTGACAGAGAAAGTGCTTCAGAGTACAATCAGTGAACAAGAAGCTGAAAAGCAGGTAATTGCAGCCTTTTTATCCCAATGAACTGCTTAACACCCATGTCATGAGGAAAAGTATTTATTTGAAGAATTAATGCTGAATTAAGGCACTATTCACTTTTTGATACTTTTTTTGTGTGGTTTTGTGCATGTTAATCTTCTAAAGGAATTTTTGTTTCTTGCCGTCCCGTCAACTGAGCAGGGGTGATAGGACTCCTTGTTTTTCTCGGATAACGTATCATTTTCCCACGCATGCGTATGACAACATGAACTTCAAAACTTTCCATCTTCTGTGACCTGAAGGTAGCTTTAGCAATCTGTAAAAACTAAAATTTGTTCATGCAGTAATATCTGTGTGCACAAGTTTTCTTCATTAATTATCACTATTTTGTGTAGATACAGATTTGATTTGACGGTTTGAATAGGGAGAAAAACACAAGAATATAAATCTTCATGATTCAATTACACCATAGTCTAAATCCTCCTTAAAAGGAATGCCACCAAATAATTATATAAATTGCTTTCAGAATGAAAATAAGAAGTTCATATCTTCCCAAATGAATCTCTATATGACAGTAAACCACCAACTGCTGGGTACCCTCCTTGTGAGATTATATTTGTAATATCATGTAAAAGGTCAACTCCTGGAAAAATCTCAAGAGCAGACAAAAACTAGATAAACTAAGAGATTTGACCTGAAATCTATCCTATAAATTTATAGTAACATACATTTACTGATGAGGCTTATGCTTTGGTTTTACAAAGGGGAAAGTGTGTCCTTCCAAGAAATGATATTACATACTTCTAGCAACAGTATTTTTCTTGGATTATGCTAGATATACACCCAGTGGTTTACACACAGGGTTACACCCCCCTCACATTGAGGAGGGCCCACGAATTTTTTATTGTGTGTGGTCCCCCCTCCATGTGAGGGGGGTGTAATCTAATGTGTAAATGATTGTGTACATCTAGCATAATCCATTTTTCTTTATCATAATGTTATTGCATAAACTGATACATGCACATGTTTATATTTGAATGCATGTTTTTACTTGCAACATAACTTTTACGTTCTTGAAATTTTAACGTAACTCATCTGATGAAAAATACATTGTATTTATGACATGATCAAAAACCCACTTTCAGCATTCAATAATTCAAAAAGTATTTTCCTTTTTTCAAAATACTGATTGATTGATACCAGGTGATATTTTTCAGTGGAACAAGGCTATGTGACCCACCTTGTTAGTGCTAAGTGCTAACTATACCTTGTTTTCTTTTCCTTCTGTTAAATGTTTATAATTTTTACGAGTTGTACCGTGACCACTGCCCAATGGTGGCACAAGTGTTCCACAGTGGACAGATAAAAGTTTGACATTAGTGGTATCAAGGTGTGGTCCACAATCAAATCTTTCACTGCAATTGTCGGTGTCAAAGTTCAAATGCTTAAATCTTTGTAGGTTGTAGAGTTTGTGAAGAGACATGTCGGCACATATACACCTCTTCTTGCAGGAAATTCAGTCTATGTTGATCTTCTATATCTGAAGGCAAGGAAAACTTTTATCGTTTCATTATAATATTTGAAAAGATTTTGTTTCTTTGCAGATGAAATGTTCTGAATTTCTGTTTCTATGTAAAATTTGGAATTTTTTAAGTTCAGTAATATGAAAAAAAGGAGAAGAATAAGAAGAAGAAAAGGTGATTTTTATCAATAAATGTTATAATTTGTTTTTCGACTAATAAAAAATATAATTAACACGCAAATATGAGGTGTGCCCCAATTGCTTAAACTTACAGACGAGGCAAAATATGGAGTAAAACTGTGGGGTACCAAGAATGTAACCACAATGTCAGCGCTGTAAATGTATGATTTACAACCATATCTAAACTTTTAGTTGTTTCTTGGACCTTCTATAAAATTCACATTATTTCCCTACATTGAATTTTCATTTTGGCTAAAGATTTTCTTTTTGTGCCCCATGGGTAAGACTAGAAACAAGTTTAGATATAGGTTTCACTGGAGAAATATCAAATAGTTGCGTTTCTATCCTTTCTTTTGAACTTCGGATTTTGCTTGCTGTAAAGCATGATACTTGTCATATTATTAACATGAACTTTTTGGTTGGCAGAAGTACATGCCGAATTTGGCTGGACTATTCTCTCATATACTTGTTGATGTCAGCAGTGTCAAGGCATTATGTCTCCGCTGGTACCCAAGGGGTAATGATTCTGCTCCAATGCCATTCAGGCTGATGAATTAGTGAATTTTGTTCGTTATCCGCATTATGTCACTCTTTAGGCTTTTACACATCGTGTAGCTGGCTAAATATTTGACCAACCGGCTTTGTTTTTAAGGATATATTATGATAAAAAAAATTGGAATATAACACTTCATTTTGCTCACACATCATTCATCTTAACAACATTGAGGAGGCGTTTAGCTTAGCTTAAAAGGTTAGATGTAAATAAGCAAGTTTAAAAATAAATAAGTTGCTTGTCTTGAAATTAAGATAAGATGTACTTTCAAAATTATTCCATTGTTTTTTTTTACTTTTAACTTAAAAAAGTAACATCCGAATTGATTTGAAAACAAAGAGATACCTAAATGCTAGTTTTACTTACTTTTAACCGTAATGAAACATGCTGTAGCTCTAGCGAATTTCTGAAGCTCCTTCATTTTCGAATATGACTAGATAACAAAAAGGCTCCTCAGAAGGAAAACAAACACAGGGCTCTGGATGACATCAAGGAAAGCATATCAGAACTCAAGTACTACAAGGAGAGCATTTTCAAACCCAAGTTGAAGTAGTGATAATGGTAGAGATTCGCAGATTGAGATTATCGAGCTCGTTCAGTTCTAACTCTCAGTACACATACTGGAGTCAAATGTGGAAAGATACAGTTTCTACTACTTACGTAGAGTGACAGAGTAATTCTGTTCATACAATATGAGAATTTAATATGGAGTGTTTTGTAAGTTTGCAACACTTCTCATGTGATTTGCTGCTAACCACGAGAATCAACCTCAGAGCGTGAAGTGAAATGCAAACGTGCAGTTGTTTGCCATAAACGTTATATAGCTGATACTTAAATTCTAAATAGGGTTCTTTACAGTTCATTTTTCTTGAGTGATTTCTTCTCACATTTTCTGGAACAGGGACTCTAGGGAATCAAATGCAAGTCATCACGGCCTGAATGAGTCGACACATTTTTGACACTTAAATCAGTGTGGAAAAGTTCCGCGAGCTAAAATATTTTCTAGTAGACAGGGAATTGCCCGTATTGGCTCAGCACGAGTGCACTTAGGCCTGGTTCATGCCGGATAATATCACAATATTCTGTACTGTTTTTGCTATTTTGAAATATTTTGGTTCTGTATACCATAATATTCTCAAAAGTTTCCACCATCTCAAAATCAAAGGGAATTCAAGAAAAAACTTCCACGCTTAACAATGAAATTACTGATATACCAATTACGCCTTTTTTTTGCTTTCAAATATGACCACAATGCTATATATATTCCACGATCATGGAGAAATTTCAGCAGCAAAAATGCTCCAGGTCTCAATTCAGATAAGCAGTATTAGACTGAACTTTTGGAACTTTTTACAGTCTCATGCACAGCTGAAAAGTCCAGATCCCCCAATCCCATGCTTCTGGCTTTCTTGAATGCCTACACACAAAGGAACAATTGAAATTTATATAATAAATAAAAACGAATATGTTTCGTGTATTGTGATTTCCCGTGCTCTCAGTCCGTGTGCAAATTGCCGTAATGAGAATAGCTACAAAGTTCGAATGCTTGTTTGAGCACGAATTAACTAATGTGGTACCTCGTTAGCAGCAGCTGCAACAGGCATTGGCACTGCATTTTCATCCCCAAGGGCAAGAGCCAACCTCATGTCCTTCTGCTGATGCTTCAAAGGAAAGGCAGGGGAATAACTACTCTGGATCATAGATGGCCCCTTCAATTTGAACATTGGATTTGCAATTGCGCCAAGGTCCTGCCAGGGAGAACCAACCAGAAAATCAATTGAATGCCAATAGAAGGTGGAAAGGATAGTGTGGACCTAGGTCTGTTTTCTTACCAAGACGTCAAGAAGTGTTTGGGAGTGCAATCCACTTTTGTCGGCCAGCACAAGACCCTCTGAGAATGCATTCATCATACTGCAAAGTAGGAAATAGTAAATGAAGTATCAAGCCTGCCCATTAGACACCTACAACGTGTTTGGAAACGAGGATTGCATAGAAGTCACCAATATTAAGAATGAGCTAAATCTCGTGCACTATATTGTCCAAACAGCACTTAAACATCTTAGCTATGTATTACTTCTTTGCAAAATAGAAAGACAACTACAGGGTAATATCTCCCAAGAAGCTGAAAAATGTAAAACAAATAGCCAAAGTACTTGAATGCATAATTATTCGTTATGAATGCAAAAAGGATGTGATACAAGATCAGTCAGTTCAATACATCGAAACAATTTCATGAAATACTGCTTTCGAGATGAAAATTGGATTTTTTATGTAATTCAATTAAGTTCGATCAGTTAGTTATATGGATGTATATGCAAACCAAAATGTAATGAAAACTGCACTAATCATATGTAGAATTAGAAGGAACCCTCTGGTTGCCAACCTTGGTTCACTATGTTAAATCAAACTATATATAGGGGTGATGGCTGGAATGGTGAGGGTGGTAACAGTGGCCAGGAAACGTTATTCTAAAATGTAAAGTAGGTGAAGGAATAGTTACTTCCTCCATATATAATATCACCAGCTTTAAGACGGCCAAAGTTTTTAAGGAAAGAGTTGAAAATTTTCAAAATGATATATATATTTTTTTAAGTGAAGTTAATATGTGAAAGCATAATTTGATTATTAGTTGATTTAAGGAAAAAGTAAATTATGTTGAGACAGGATATGCAATTTGTGGCAGAGTAAGGTGTTATAATAACGAAGGCATCATTACCTGCCCATTACCATGTTGACAACAAGTTTCATTTTCGCTCCATTTCACATAGAAGTCACCAATATTAAGAATAAGCTAAATCTCGTGCACTATATTGTCCAAACAGCACTTTAAACATCTTAGCTATGTATTACTTCTTTGCAAAATAGAAAGACAACTACAGAGTAATATCTTCCAAGAAGCTGAAAAATGTAAAACAAATAGCCAAAGTACTTGAATGCATAATTATTCGTTATGAATGCAAAAAGGATGTGATACAAGATCAGTCAGTTCAATACATCGAAACAATTTCATCAAAATACCGCTTTCGAGATGAAAATTGGATTTTTTTATGTAATTCAATTAAGTTCGATCAGTTAGTTATATGGATGTATATGCAAACCAAAATACAATGAAAACTGCACTAATCATATGTAGAATTAGCAGGAACCCTCTGGTTGCCAACCTTGGCTCACTATGTTAAATCAAACTATATATAGGGCGTGTTCGGTAGAAATTAAAATTGGATTAAAATTGAAAATCAAGCCGTTATTATTGACTTTTATTGGAAGAGTGAGACTTAATAAAGGTTATATTTTCAATTTTAATTAGATTTTAAGCTTAGCCAAACATGCTCATATATAGGAGTGATGGCTAGAGTGGTGAGCCGTGAGGGTGGTAACAGTGGCCGGGAAACATTATTCTAAAATGTAAAGTAGGTGAAGGAATAGTTACTTCCTCCATATATAATATCACCAGCTTTAAGACGGCCAAAGTTTTCGAGGAAAGGGTTGAAAATTTTCAAAATGATATTTTTATTTAAGTGAAGTTAATATGTGAAAGCATAATTTGATTATTAGTTGATTTAAGGAAAAAGTAAATTATGTTGACACAGGATATGCAATTTGTGGCAGAGTAAGGTGTTATAATAACGAAGGCATCATTACCTGCCCATTACCATGTTGACTACAAGTTTCATTTTCGCTCCATTTCCAACAGGTCCCAAGAAAAAGGATTTTTTCCCCAAGACATCAAAAGCAGGCAGTACTTCTTCATACAGTGCCTGCAATTTCAAACACACAGAACATTAAACAGACATTCATTTCCAGACAAAACGGAGGAGCAATTCAAATGTTATCGGTTGCTGCATTCATGTACAGTTCAAGAAACATTCATATTTTAAATATGTCAAAACATCTGAATTTAATGACTTATTGGTAAGATATTAACTGCCATCAAATGTGCAAATTCCAAATAAAGAGGGCTTCTGCAGGTTCCTTTGGAAGCCTAAATGATGTCTCGTTCATTTCTAATCAAATCAGTTATAAAGTTATGGAGGAATTTCAGTTAATTAGACCTCAAATTCTCCAATTTATGCTGCAGCAGTTCTGCAGCTGTTTACATGGAGAAAAATAATTGGCCAAATTTATACGGCTTCATTGGATGCTCGCTTTATCTTTCTGATACGGCACTGCGTTTAATTGAAGGAAGGAAAGGGCAGTTAAGCAAAGGATGATTCATGAGAAACAAGTATTTTCTTTCCATTGTTTAGTTAAACTATTGAGTATAAAAGCAAAGGCTCTGTAACTGGTAAAGCAGACATATAAAAGAGGCGTCCACCCAATTGTTCTTTTCAATTCCTTTTGCTTCTCAACCCAAAAATAAATTTGAAATCCCTTTCAGTTCTCATTTATATCTTCCGACCAATAGAATTTCATTGTAACAAGGCTTGGGACATCAACCATGGAAATGAAAAATGAAACAAGATAATTCACCTTTTCTCCAGCAGCAAGAATCACCAATTGACCATCTTCAGCAGGCTTTTTGCTACCAGACACTGGAGCTTCAAGGAAATAACCACCCTTTGACGTGATTGCCTGAAAGCATCAGAAGTTAATAGTATTTAGTGACCAACATGAATGTATGTTTCTTGGTCGTGTTCTATTTCCCGTTTCCATCTGATTAAACTCAAGAATTATATATGTAAGATAAAATCAAAATAATAAATACGCATTTTCTATAAGTAAAATGCATCCATAGAAGCTTGGAGATCGACGACGTCAATTGATTTAAAGATCTTAAAAGACTCAGTTGCCATATTATGTTTCTTGTGGATGATCACAACTCTAGTGCATCATCACTGATGTAAAGGTTTCAAAGGATAAAGAGAACACATATAGTTCTACATAGCCACGATCTGATCTATCTGGAATCCAAAAAGAGAAAGTAATGTTGAGAAAGCACATTGAAGAATTCAAGTTCACACAATAGAAGACTTGGTAGAAGCAGCCAAAACTAACCTCACTAATTTTTGAGGAAGTCTCGGCATCAACAGTTGACATGTCAATGTATCCTTTTCCAGGACCCATTTGCTCTAGAACACCATCTTTATCGAAAACCACCTAAATGTGACCAAAACACGCATTATGACTGAGATACTCCAAATCACAAGGTTATTCACATAAATTATTGATGAGAAATTATCAACTAACTGAAAGGGCTGCAGCCGGATCAGACAGCATTCCAATGGTATACTTGCATTTCTTAATTATTGCAGCAGGACTTTCTCCTACAGTAGCTCCATGCTCCACCAATTCATCGCACTACATATAGGTAGATAAAATCATTTCTCAGAAAGGAGCTAAATTATTTAAACACAAAGGTGATTGCTTAAACTTGCATTTAAAGCAAATTTAAACGAATTAATATCTAACTATAGAGTTAAAGAAAACGCTTTTAGTTTCTGTTTCTCCGAAATGTTATAACACAAAGAACAGGATCGAGCAAGAAATTTTTGGATCAGACAAATAATTCTTTAGCTAATCCATCATTGGAGGTAGAGAATTTATTTTGTAGAGGGTGCACAAAAATATTATCAGTAACAATGAAAATTGAATTTAAGAATTAGTCGATAAATCAAAATAGAGAAAATATTCCAATCAGGCATTACATAGAGTCTTCTAGACCTCATTAGGGAATCTTCCCCTCCTTAATAATCTATCACTGTTCTCAAGTTCTTATAACATAAACCCAAAGGCAAATACTTCTAATAAATAATTGCGTGAGCAATAAAGATAGTTCCGAATAATCAAAACAAAATATTAATCAGTTTATTCTGATACTCACTCGAATATATCTGTAAAATCAAACAGAAACAAAAAGGACAAAAGAAAAAAAAAACCCAATTTTCATACAAGAATATCACGAATCTGATATAGTATACTTTTGAGAACACACGAATATTATCAGGGAAAATAGATCGAGAATCACTTGTATACACGAGTAGTGTAAAACAATTTACCCGAGACAGAGTGCGATTCCAAACAGTGAGCTTAAATCCATGGCGAAGCAAGTTCATTGACATAGCCTTTCCCATTATTCCCATCCCCAAAAACCCAATTTCCTCCATTTCTATTAGATGCAAAGCGAAGCCCACAAATGCGAACTCCTCTCTCCTCTTTCTCTATATATACGCACGAACAAGACAGACTACCACCACTGCAGTGAGCTTCCTAGGATTCGTGTAATACTAAGAGATAATAGTAGAATGTGTTATGATATGGTTTTCTTTTTCAATCACAATACATTCCAACGCAGCAGCTGATAATTTATTATGTTTTATTCTTGAAAATCGTTGTCATAAATTAATTTAGAAAAATTTTATGAGTATTATCTGCTTGTTGTTTGCTAATTTGTGACGGAGTTTCATTGTAATGTATGGGTTCGTGCTCGTTTTCTCTGTTTTTTGATTGGTCCGTTTGGCATCTGCATTTCCACTGTTGTGGGAAAGGGGGGGAGAAATTCAGTGCGACGCCCTATAAATCATGGTATACATTGTTGGACTTGGACCAATGAATTCTTTCACTGTTGTAAGTTGTAACTTACATTTTGCACTGAAAATGTTATATTTTTGGCATATATGAATTTTCTTTTTTAAATAAATCTCTTTATCGTATATGAAGTTCTGAACTATACGTTTAAAAATTATAAGCGTACGATACCATCAAATCAATAGTGAGTGGACCTAAAGAGTCCGTTAATCATCTTCACAAACAGCTTATTATTGTAGACCTAGAAAGTCTGCATAATCGTTCTCACGCAAAGCTTATTATTGATCTAACATGACCCAGTGATTTACTTGAACAAATACGAAAAAGTAATAAGTTTTTATTTATTGTATTTTCTGTGTATTATAATCGATTGGCTAGTTGACATATTGACTTTTAAGATTAAACTATTCTACTTTCTACTCTAAGTGCTCGTTTGGTAAAGATTAAAATCCAATTAAAATTGAAAATATAGCCGTTATTGGGTTTCACCCGTCTAATAAAAGTTAACAATAATGGCTAATTTTTCAATTTTAATCCGATTTTAATCTCTATCGAACACGCCCTAAGAGTGCTTGATTGGCATGGAAAGTATATTCTAGAAAAGAAAATGTTTTGAGGAAAACAACAATCTACTCTTTCAATCATGTAGCAATGGAGAGTGTGCACATATCATTATCCATAATCTACAATCAAATCAAGTCACGAGCCAGCTTAAACTATTAACCCTTTTCATTTCATTTATTCATGAAAATAATTATTCAAATTTGAAAAATTTGCCAATGCCAATTGCCAAAGATATGATGGATTAAATGAGCCTACTCTGTTTAAAGTCAACACAACTTTTTGGGCACAAAGGTCATCTCACTTTTTCAATTTTTAACCCACCGTCTCAACTCAAGGAGATTTTAGGAAGTGAAAGCTTGACTTATGTTTTACTATTTAAAGTTAATTTCACTTTTTATATAATGAAAATAAATATGAATTATGTTTCGATCACTCGTGGTTGACACCATCTCTGATATTCTACCCACGCGTCGAAAATCTAGCCATTGATTGGAAAAGTATTGTTAGAATAAATGTATAAAAATCTGTGAATTCAAATGATATCAAACCCGATGTAAAATATGATGGACATGTAGCATGATTGAATTGAATAAATATAGCCCTAGTTTGGTAGAAATTTAAATTTAAATTTTAATATAAATCAAAGTCAACAATCAATTTTAATTATATATATTTAATAGAACTCGCAACTTTTCAATCACACATTTTTATCAATTTTTATCAAAATTTACTTCAAATTTGATTTAATCACAATCAAGAAAGGGCGTAGTTCTTACCAGGGTTCCGTTTGGCAACCAATTTATAAATGATTTAAAAACTCAATTAAAGTAAAATATTAATTTCAATCACACGAAAATAATTACTATTTATTTATTAACCATACATTTCGTTGGACCCACTAAATGGATTGTATTACATGTACATAACAATTTATATAATGATTTACCAACAGATGATGCGACGAAATTTAATAGGATCAAAATTTCTCTATGAAATTATGTAAGATATTATATAAATAGTTATGTACGAGAAATATTTCTCTACGTAAATTATTTTATAAAATTGCCCAATGGAAGCTAGTTAAATTTCACGTGCCGTTGAACTTTCAATAAATACAATTGCCGCAATGCTATGATGACACATATTTAACGTACGTTTGAAATATTTTTGAGTGGCTTCAAACTTTTTAATGTTCAATCAAAAATATCAAGAAAGCAAGGCTTATAGTATCTATCATCAATAGGGCCACCCCGTGATATACGGCACCGTTTTGTATAATTATTGGTGTGGTTCACTTCGTGAAGATCACAAGTAGACTCATTGAGTCATTGGGCAGCGTTTGGCGTAACCATAAAGTGAGTGGAAAATAAAAATCGGAAATATATTTTCCCAAATTAAAATTAAAACTCGTTAAAAAGTATCAAAACTAAAGTGGGTTTAATCGAATAATTTTAAATATATATTTATTTTTAATTACCAATATAACTTTCGGTTCGATATTTGGCTATTAATCATTTATCTTTTTACGATCAACTCCTGATCCATTTTTTAAATATTGATAAACGATAGAATTCTACAACGTAATTGAGTCAATTGAAGAATTTGCTTTCAACTATTCGAATTAAGACACAATATTTCCCGTTCTTTAAAACATTAATCGTCAAGTAATCACTAATTCAAACATATTTCATTAAAAAAAACAAAAATCCATGCTATAAATAATATAGGTGAAAAGGAAATCCTTAACGAATTGTATAATACTATGAAATGACATGTAAAATAGAATTAATGCTCATATTTCTCGACAAAACCAATTCGAATCATACTCATACAGACCAAAACTGGTGCATGCATATAAATTCTTAACTCGAATCATCTACAACATAGTCTATTATCGATTTCGAGATATAACCATCGTGAATTCGATCAACCATCGATTTTTTTGAATAAATTTGCAGGTACATGATATGTGCAAAAACCTGTGAAATTATCCTGTACTTATAGCCGTGTCCGTGTTTTTTCTAACATTATTACAAATATCTAAACAAACTAACAAATTTAAAAAATATTACAATTTAATTTGCATCCATCATACCAAACACACCTTAATAAATGTGATTTAAACGGTTATATTAATGATACCTCAAATGAAAATCACATATCTTGTAATATTGAAGGATAAAGTTGTTGTCAAAGAGCAACTGACGCTTCAAATTTGTTCTCCTACACCACACCTTGGATTGCAAATCCAAGCAAATCTAGTTACTGCTGTCATTTCCCCGTTAAATTGTCTTTTCTTGTTTCCGTGTGCCATTTTTTCCTGTCAGACTGTCACCATGACCACTGGACAGTACTGCTCCGGGTTCATGAATAAAGAAAGATAATTTGCATATGCTTTTGGTCGAATCTGAATCTTTTTTTCGTTTTTGATTGTTTAGGGAAGACCTGTTCACATTTGTAAGGTGGGTTTGTGATTTTTTAAGGATTTGAAAGAATGAGTGGGGGTGGAGAAGAGGAAGGGACGACGTTAGAGTTCACCCCAACTTGGGTGGTGGCCGCCGTATGCACCGTCATCGTCGGCATCTCCCTCGCAGCCGAGCGCCTCCTCCACTATGCCGGCAAGGTGGTTTAGCATTTCTTTCTCTTTCACACGGGCACACCACACACGTGCTTGCTGCAAATGCTGCGCGATTTGATTTTTTTTTTAATGTTTTGATTTTTGTTTTACTTTTCAGTTCTATTTTGGCTAAAAGTATTCACAGTTTACTGAGTTTTTTGTAGTATTTGAAAAAGAAGAACCAGAAGCCCCTCTATGAAGCTTTACTGAAAGTTAAAGAAGGTACTCTTCGTCTTTCACTTTATCTTAGAAAGTGTATGAGAAGGCGGAAATCTGTGCTCTTAAATGTAAATTTTGATATGGGTGTATATAAAACTTTATTTGCGCTTTCTTTTTTCCAATATGATGATTGATCGATTAATTGCATGAATGATTTTTGGGTGAACGTAGAATTGATGCTGTTGGGGTTTATATCACTGGTGATGACCGCGTTTCAAAGCAGTATAGTCAAGATCTGCGTGCCCGAAGACATAATGAAACATCTTCTCCCGTGCTCACTGCCGTCTGAATCATCTTCTAATGGAGAAGAATCCTCTCCAACGAGTCCAGAGGCAAGTGCGCATCATCGGCGATTGCTGGCCGAAGCATCCGCTGGCCTAGGTTACTGCCCTGCTAAGGTAATGTGAACATTTATTTCGTTTTTCCGGTGGAAGAATTCAGTTTTGTGTTTCATGATAATCTATGGAGAGATTCTTTACTTTTCAGGTTAAATTAAAATTATGTAAACTGATCTATCTATTACTGTTGTAACCATATGTGTATGTATTATAGTATATGTCCATATCAAGTTCTTTGATTGGAAAGAACTATTCGAGCTAGAAGTATCCTATGAACATTTTTTTTTCCCGGGGGCCCTGTGGAAGAATTCAAGTCCCTGTTTCATGATATCTGTGGATAGGGATACTTTTCCTTTTCAAGTTGCATAAATATTATGCACACTCATATCTATTTGTTACTGTTGAGAGCATCTATCTATAGTTATGGGTCAATATCGAGTTCTTTGATAGGAAAAATATCCAAACTACTCGAAGGTTAAATTCCTTATTTTGATCAGTTACTTTTTGGATGTTGTATTTTCACTTTTTTCTTAATTGAAAAATGAGCCACTCCGAGCCAGTCATATCAACGCCTATCCTTTTGAAACTAGAAAGCTTATTCTGTTACTGTGGTTACTTGGGAATCTTGGATTGGCACGAGAAGTCAATAAGTTGTCGCGTGGATCTGGTTTATGTCTGTGCATAGCTTACGCATCTTAGCCATTCTAGGTTGGTTAGAAGCAATATGGCTACAGGGATGTACTATAACTGTATTCGAAGGAAAAAAATTGACTAGCACAGGGAAATTATTTCCCAAAGGCTTGAATTACATGTTCAAGAGCATTTTTGGCAAAGCTTAGAAATCTTATAAATAAATGTATATTTACTTTTTAAGTATGTATCGAATATAATTGTAATCGTAAGTAGACGTGTTTGGCAAAATAGTTACTTTTAAGTAGAGTAATAAAACAGTCAAGTGACCAGAAAGTCCATTATATTATTTTAATACGATAAAGAAATGACTGGATAAGAAACTGTGAAGTAATTTTGATGAATTATCAAGTATAAAAGAGTGATCAAGTTGCTCGAATTTGTAAGAACATAAGTTACTTATTACTCAAAATTAATGGAAAAAAAAGTAACTCGAAAGTATACCTAAACAAGTTTGGCTATTAAAGTTACTTGGAAGCCATGGTGAATTTGGGGGGACTGGGCTGGGCTTTATCCCAGTCCCTTCCCAGCCCATTAAGTTGCTCAAATTTGTAAAAGCATAAGTTTTTTTTATGTGTAATTTCATTTTTTTTTTTTACATATTAGCCCGATTTAAAATCTTTATAAGTCCGGTCCTAGATTCATCCTTGCTTAGAAGTCTGACTTGCGTGTAAGCTTCGCAGTCACATGCAACCAGGCTTTCAACTCGCCCAACTCTCCCTTCTGCACTACCTGACCCTGTCTACACCTGGAGCCACTCCTCCTAGAGGTTGAAACGGCTC